TCTGTCGAGCTAGCCGTGGTGTGCTCGCACCATCCAGGCGAACGTCAGTCCCTGGCCCCGAGTACCTTCGCTCCAGCTGCCTTAGCTGGAGGGTGTTTTCCCTTATCTCTCTCTCTATGTCGACCAGGCTCCTCTCCATAATGCCGTTCGACGGACGCAACTATCCCACTTCTGACACCAATGTCGTAGTCTGCTGGTTTGGTTGAGCGGAGCTGGTCTGACCCTGTCCTATACTGTGACAGCTAACTAGCCAGCTGTGCGCCGGCACCTAGCCAAGCAAGGAGGAGAACACCGGTCCTGTCTTTTCTCGGGTTTTATTAAATGGATTAAATGAAAATGCTGCATAACATGTCACCATGTACTCACAGAAGATGAACAACAAAAAGGCAGCAACAACACAACTCCCTCGGAACTCTACCATGTCCCGCGCCAACAAAACACACAGTCTCGCCCACCTGTTACCCTTTTTATACCCTCCCGCACTTGTTCCTCCCCAAACCCCACATTGGACAAAACAGCGCATGCACACCACCTGAACGTCAGTGTCGAACCCACCCAACAAACAAGAGAACACACACGAATCGTGGTGTCCGACCAGGGTCGCCACAATACATTGACTCAAATAAAGTTTTATCTGTGTGAGTAACTCCAATGTCTCCGTGTTTGCAGATTTATCTGGGGGGTAGCAGCTCAGTACTGGTGAGATTTGCATGATTTTGACCTCTGAAAACAGGAGGGGTGTTATTCTTGGGGAACTACTAAAAGTTACTACGGTCCGAGTTGCCTAGGCCTGTATATTGGCCCGGTCACACACAGCCTACCAGTTACTGAAGAAAGCAATTGTTAATGAAGAAAGTATTTTTTTAGTACTGGCAGTTCTAATTTGATGGAATAATACTACTTAGCCCGGGGTTTTCTGTGTGACCGGGATTCTCAGGAGTACACACGGGGGTGTGGGGCCCGCTCCGCCCGGTTGACGTAATCCAGACTCCAGATGGGTTATTGTGCCACATGCATAGCTGTTTTATTTTGAAAGCGGTTTCCGGAAGACCTGGCTGACATGAGGTGGAGGCTGCTAGTTAGTTTACGACAACGCTTAACTGTTAATGTAACTAGCTAGATGGCTTTGATAGCAGTAGCCATTCATTCGTTTTAGGGCGAATGTTAACTGAAGTGGACGACCTCGAAGCCTGAAGCTACTGCGCAAAACAGCGGCAAGAGCCCCGGGTATCGTTTCGACAATCTGCAGGTTGACAGACCACGGTGGAGTTTCAACTTTTAGCTAACTAACGTCGCAGTCGGCAAGCAGGTCGACCGGCTAGCACAACGGATAAAACTAAGTGGGTACGTTGAAGAGCAAATAGAAGGCTTGGCTAGTTGGCAATACGCATTTTTATTAATTTTTTTTTCATCTGTTGCTAGTCAAAGCAAAATCGCCGTAATTTGAGGCGTAGCCTTTCGGACGTAGTCAGAGACAACAGCCTATTCCAGGGGACCAACCGTCACACGCTTGAAATGCCTTCTACTTGTAACTAACGACTGACTGTGGAAAATTACAATGGGTTGTGTCGGAAGGTAACTTGCTCGGTCTTAACCAACCATGTAAGCTGTCTCGTCGTGAAAAGACATTTGACTCGTGACTGTTAGCTGTTGGACTGTACAGGAGGAGCCCTCCGAACAACAACAACAAGAAAAGACGCACCGAACCAGAGGGTACTTCCGAGCACTCCCCTCGGCGCAGAAGCCCGTGTTCACAGTCCTACTAACTGGAGCGTTTTACTGTTGGACGCCCCCATATGCCTGCACCTACGCCCGTGTCAGCGTCCTGAAGACGGACAGAGACAGAGGGAGGGAGGCGACGGCAGCTCCCGCGTCCCCGACACTCAGCCGAGGAGAGGCATTGCTGAAATGAGATGAGGCTCAGAAATGGAACTGTGGCCACTGTGATTATTTTCTTGACATCTTTCCTCAGCCTGTCCTGGTACACAGCGTGGCAGAATGGCAAAGGTGGGTTTTTGTCATCACGGACACCACACTAAAATGAGGTTTGACTGCAATTTAGAAGACCCTTGTAAGGCCTGGTCAACAACTGGTGAAGATCAAGCTCACGGGGGTGCAGCAACATGTCGTAGCTGTCCTACGACAGGTGTTGGTGTTCACCTCTTACGCACCCGGTTTGTATTCGACAGATTGGTATTCACGGGCACTCTGTTATGCCCCACATAATCATGGTGCAAGCTACATCATGCAGGGGTTACCTGTTGTAATAATTGGCCCCTTTAAACAGGCTGATTCATTTTCTACCGTTTAGTCCCTGAACGGGGTCACGGAGGGGTGGGAGCGGAGCCAATCCCGGCCGGCAATCGGGCGAAGGCGGGGTACACCGTGGACAGGTCGCCAATCCATCGCAGGGCTCAGGCTGATGTTTATTGTGCTTATTTTGGTGTGTTACAGATACCGCTGACTTATCTCTATGAGCTCATCAGCCTGAATTCTTCTTCAGTCAGTCAGGGATAGTTTAATGTTCCCTGCCGTTTAAAGCACTGTTTGCAGCTCTTTATTATCACACCACTCAATATTTAAGGTCTGAGCATTACCCTTATTTACATGTCCTGTCAGTCATATAGGCTCAGGCTCAGTATACCTGTTGTGTTAGTGTTTTAGCGGTGTGCAAGGGCTGAGTGGTTATTTGCAGAGTTAACCCAGTCTCTGTGTTGAAGGTTATGGGCCTTAGCAACTTTTTATGGACAGAGTGTAATGACCTTTTGATAAATTCCAAGGCAAGGCTTCATGCTGTGATTACTGGGAGCTTATCAGTTTGATGAAGTATTTTTCTTCAAATGGATTCTGCTGAGTGCAACCACTCAGGTCTGGTCCATGGCTTGAAGTGTGTGTGTGTGTGTGTGTGTGTGTGTGTGTGTGTGTGTGAGAAAGAGAGCGAGAGAGAGAGAGAGATAAGCAAAGGTCAAATGATGATGCCCTCTGTTTTGTTCACTGCACCTGTTGAAACAATCCAGTGGCCCTTTAGTCAGAGCAGAACCATCTGTGCAATAACTAGCTAGTAATTTTCTATAACTTGGAAACAAGGACCCCTTTTTCTGTGCCTCATTTATCTCTTCAGTTGATAATACTGGCATATGGTCAAATATACAACTTTTAAAGTTTTAAAATATGTGGTAAAATATTTTGTCCTACTGTTTGTCAGTGAGGAGGGCATGGAAGAGTGAGTGCATTTGATAAGCAAAGTAAGGGCCATGACACACCAAGCTGACGGTTGGCTGTCTGTCTGAAGAGACTTTAACACTGGCAGTGGGACAAATAATTAATAAAGGGCTCTTTGCTTACAATTATTTTGCCGCTGTCGGTCAGCGTCTGCCGGGGCTTGTCTTCCCAGTGTGTCTCACACTTTTGGCACCTGCTGGACTCTGTCGGTGTTTTTTTTTTTTTTTTTGGCCGATTCAACATGTTGAATTGGCATCCGCCCATTGAGCCTCGTCAGTAACGTATGCAGTGTGGTCACCACAGCACAAGTTAAGCTAGTGTAGCTGCCTAAGAAAATGCAATTGGTACTGTTAAAAATGAGTGAAATAGCAGCAGTATGAGACAAAATACAAACACCACCAGCTCCACAATTTACAGTGTTAATTGTTAGACATGGATCATCCTCACTTGTATGGAGGTATTTTGGCTTTCAAAAGATGGATGTGGCTCAAAAAACTGTCAGAAATTGGTTGCTGTAAAGACAGCTGGACAGCTTGTTTCACCATCTGTGAACTAACCACCACACAGAATATGAATGATTTGAAAGCTTCAAGAGGCAGCTGTAGACGACAGGACCAAACCAGCCAAACACCAGCAAACTTTTGTGGAATTATTCAGCAAATGTAATTTCACTGTTTGAGGTCTGTTTACTTTCATGTTTCAGTTTTAAGTAAATAAGACCTGTTTTTTAAAAATATGATGTTTCCATGAATATCACTGGTAAGCAACAACAGTTAATGTCCTAATAACAAGACAGACCTTGTACAATGTATGATGACTTAAATACATTTTTGAAGGATGCAGAATATCATTTGTCTTGTTTTGTGACAGATGGAATTTAAAAGTTAAGTAACGGGTGTTTTTTTTCTTTTCTTTTTAAAAGTAGGAGCCTCTTATGTTTCGTATCATGTATCCCTGGAGTTATAGATGACCTCTCCTCTTGATGCTGGGTGTTTAGAGCTTACTTGACCCCTGTTATTGAGTAATCCTAAAAACAAAAACTTTGAGAACAATTTCTTCTAGTTTCATTTTAGCCTATAAAACACAGTTGGTCCTTGTTTTGTGGAGTACTGGATTGGAGAACTAATCTTGAGTAAAGTTTTATTTAAATTATATTTTATTATTACAGTTTGGCTTTTTTTGCCCAAGTCTGCTTCGGACAGTCTGACTTGTTCCTGGTCACTTGACTGCTGTGAATGAGAGCTGCACCAGTCAGCTGTCGAAACACTCCATGTTGAATGATTCTCCAGAGTGTGTACTTCTCTGTCAGAGCTCGCCCCATCCCCTAGTGAGAGACTGCGCTCTGGTACCTCCTTGTTGTATCTAACAATATTTACTCTCAGATTAAATATGAATAATAATATTTGGGTTTTAAATTGAGCTGGGACAAAAATTCGATGTGGCAGTAAAGGTGAGATATATCTTTTTCAATATGTTATAAATATACTGGCAACAAATATTGGTGTTCTGAATTACTTTCCCTTTGGATTCTTGTGTCTGCATTTGCCATATTATTGATAGTAGAGTGAGTGGGAGGAAAACATACACATGTTGCACAATTTAAGTGGGTAGCAGGAAAAAGTGGATTAGAGATCTAGTTTCAGTGTCATCACTCACATCTATAGGACAAACTTGATAAAAGCTCAACAGTCTGCAAGAGCAGATGACAGAGCACACTGGTGACAAAGCAAGCATGCATTAGTCACCTTGTTTGTTGTTATGTGAGGAAAACAGGGCTATAGCACTACGAGCACATTATGCCACCATGAGATGCTTTTAACTTTCTCTGTTTAACTTTGGTTTTCTGCTTCAGGCAGGTGGTTGGTTAGTTAAGCTGCTTTTATTCCAGAAGGAGATCAAGTTCTCTTTTACAAGGGAGATTTAGGAACGATAAACAAGATGAGTCACTCATGCAAAGCAGTTACAAAATGCACAGGCACTATTTAAAACAGTCCCACACATTATTTGTGTGTGTTTGTTTTGTGTTATTACTTGTATGTTTATTCCAGTGGTATGGTGTAGAGCGTGGATACCTGAACCGAGGCCGACAAGGCCCGTCGGAACCCAAGGGTTTGGGTCCGAGTCTGGTTCGGGCATGTAGTTCAGACTTTAGGCTAGACTGCTGAAGCACTCAAATGTCTTCTTTGTTTAGTGTTAAGGGGCAAAACATCATATGAGATCAACTGCTTTGAGCTCGGGTCAGGTTCCGATATTATATAGCTTGTTGGGTCAGATTTTACTCAAAATACATTTCTTCATATGTATTGTGATAGTGCTATTCATATCAACACTATATTTAGATGTCATCTGTGATTTACAGCCTAAGACAGAGGCAGCTCAAAGGGGCACATGGTTTCAGAGTTAAGTTACCAAGTGCAAAACACTCTTCCTTTTTGCAAATGTTACTTCCTCCTTGCCTTCCTCAAAGCCATATGCTCCCCTTCTTCTGTATTTAAAGGCATGTTTTTTTTCCATCATCGCATCATTCCAAACACAATGGTCCAAAAATAGCACAAGTGATTGCAGTGACGGGGTTCAGTTAGCAGGCAGATAAGGAAGGTGATAGGCCAGATACACGAGAGAATGTGGATTACACGTTATTTTTTTATTATTTGTAGTGTATCTCTGTAAACATTTTGTTTGTATGTGCTGTGAGGTAGGGCCAGTCAAATCCTAAGTGGCCTGGAAGGAAGAAGAGAGTAGAAAGGCCAAATCTTACAACAGGCAAGACGAGAAGGTAGACTGGAGGATGAAAGTGCTCACTAGGGCAGTGAGACAGTGGAATGGCTTCTTTTTCCTGTGTTTTGTACACATACCCACCTACCTTTATTCCAGACAGTCCTTTCCTGTTTCACTCCTTGTGCTCCTGTGCACTTCCTCAGTCACACAGAAGCACACTGCTATTCATTCGTTCATACATGTCTCTGGACAGAATTCTCTGATGACTCAATTTCTCCTCAGTATCAGGCAGGAGGGATGATGATTAGTCTTAGCAGCTGTTCAATGTTGGTTATTCTCTTGCTTAAGCTTCCAGTGCATAGTGGTATGTGTGTACACAGCTTGTCTGTGTGGATGTCGTCAGGCATACCTATAATAGAAGTTGTAGTGCTGATCTTTTAATTTACAAAAAAGAGGGGGAGTGTATATACATTAAAAGCCAGATTCATGAACAGACGGTCCACATGGATTCTCACTGATATCTGATTACAAAAATATTCTTTAATTTTTGCTTATAAAATGTCAATATAATTTCCCAGGTACTAAGATGCTACGGTGATGTTTTCAGATTGCCTGTTTTTCAGACAAACAGTGCAAGCTATTTAGTCTGTCATTGACTTAAAATATTCAAATCTGAAAACATGGAATCTGTAAATTTTTCATATTTGTGCTTGAAGAATGATTGAATTGATTAGATGATTATCAAAACATTTGCAAATTATTTTCTATCATCAGCTGGTAAAGCAACTAATCATTTCAAGTCTAAAAATAGTTTTTGTAAGGGACTATGAACTCATAGTGGCTCTCACCTGATAACATTAAACAGTTGACTGGTGACATCACTCAAAGTGGAGTTCATAAAAAAAAGAATATTAGCTCTGGCTTATTGCAGCCCTGCAGGAGCTAAGTGCAGCTGGAGGAGTGGAGGTAAGCAGAGTGGGGTCATGCTTTCATCTCAGGGCTCTTAGACAGCATGCTCTGCCACAGAGACACATCAGGCTGCAAGAGCCCTGTCATGATGTAGAGCT